CGTATATATACGTTTGGGGCACTACGCGTAAGAACGTATATATACGTTTGGACCGTTTAGGGGTTAAGAGTTTCTGCCAAAGAAAATAATTTTGGACAGATTATGCTGTCTGTGCTAGATCCATCAAAAACTCCATTAAGGACCTCTGTAGAAAATATGAACAAAAATATATAAAAAAAAATTATTATTTGAACTGAAGATAATACCAACAATATTCTTTGATTTTTTACTTTCTTACTTTTATCCTCAATTTCTCACAAACACTTGTATCTTTGTACTAATTATTATGTTGCTAATCTTTCTGAGGTCCAGTGGTACTCATGGATTCCTATACCTTTGATTCTCAGCTGTGGGACCTTTATGCTTCATTCAAAGATCTCATTGTTATTCAAATTCATTATCTCATGTACTGGAAGTAGGCTACCTCCTCTTTTTGTGGATCACTGCTGCTTCTCTCATTGTGATCTTTGCTAGCTGTCTTCCTCAGAACTTGGGGACCTTGAAATAGTAAGCCAGCACTTTGCATTCAAGGATCTATCTCTATATCTATCTCTACATCTATCTCTATATCTATCTCTCTCTCTCTCTCTAGCTATATCTCTCTATCTATATCTCTCTCTCTCTCTTTGATTTCTCACCCATCCTTCTATTGTGCAGATATCTTCTTAAGCCATTTCATCTCCTGCTGTCCTGGATTCCCTAATCATCAGTGCTCCACTTCTGTTTTCAGGTCTTCATGAGTTCCCCATCAGCATCAATGGGGCACCTTATACTTCAAGCTTCCCCTTTGTCAGGCACTTAATAGATGTGTTAATCACTGTCAGGAGTGAGCCCCCATTCTACCTCTGGTGTCCTGGATGATTTCTTCCTCAGACTGGATTTAGCTTAGTTTTCTATAAGGGCTGCTCTGGCAGGACTTCCCTTCCCCACTGATTTTTTTCTTTAAGCACATTTTCATCATGCTGGTGGGCAAGGGGCCATAAATCATGGAGGGGGACAACACAGGATGTGGGGAGGGAGGGGAATTCATAATAACAATAATATCTTTATTTCTACAAGTACATATACAAGGTATACAAGCCTATACAAAGCTGCTTGTTATGCAGAGCATTTCGGGCAAATTAGGTCAGTTTTTGTCCCAGGATGCAACCCACACCAGTCAACTAACTCCCAAGTTCCCATTTTACCGATGGGGAACATAGACAACCGGCATAAAGAAACAAACTCAATGTTTCTACCCTTGCTAGAAATCGAACCCAGAACCTTGCCATGTGAAGTGAGAGCTTTAGCCACCAGGCCAAGGTCTCCCCATTGTTCATTAAAGCAGACTCTTCTTCCCTGTTAGGTCTACTCTCCACCCCATTTGCCTTGACTATCCATTAACAAGAAAGACACCCTTGGCCCTCTATGACCGCGGGTTCAATCCCGGCCGGGGGTATGGTTTAATCTCCACTTAGCATGTTTTCTTCATTACTGGTGAATGATCCCTTATAATAAATGTAAGATGTGCAAAGAGCCCTGCTGGGGGGGGGGGGGGGGAAGAGGTGAATCTTGATATAAATGACGTTTGTCATTTTTTCTTTTTAACAAGTTGGCTGTCTCCCACCAAGGCAGGGTGACCCAAAAAGAAAGAAAATCCCCAAAAAGAAAATACTTTCATCATCATTCAACACTTTCACCTCACTCACACATAATTACTGTTTTTGCAGAGGTGCTCAGAACACAACAGTTTAGAAGCATATACGTATAAAGATACACAACATATCCCTCCAAACTGCTAATATTCCGAAACCCTCCTTTAGAGTGCAGGCATTGTACTTCCTATTTCCAGGACTCAAGTCCGGCTATATAAAAAAATCCGGTTTCCCTGAATCCCTTCACTCAATATTACCCTGTTCACACTCCAACAGATCATCAGGTCCCAAGTACCATTTGTCTCCATTCACTCCTATCGAACACGCTCATGCATGCCTGCTGGAAGTCCAAGCCCCTTGCCCACAAAACCTCCCTTACTCCTTCCTTCCAACCTTTTCGAGGACGACCCCTACCCCGCCTTCCTTCCCCTACAGATTTATACACTCTCCATGTCATTCTACTTTGATCCATTTTCTCTAAATGACCAAACCACCTCAACAACCCCTCTTCAAACCTCTGACTAATACATTTATTAACTCCACACCTTCTCCTAATTTTCACACTCCGAATTTTCCGCATAATATTTACACCACACATTGCCCTTAGACAGGACATCTCCACTGCCTCCAACCGCCTCCTCACTGCTGCATTCACAACCCAAGCTTCACACCCATATGAGAGTGTTGGTACTACTATACTTTCATACATACCCTTCTTTGCCTCCACAGATAACGTTTTTTGTCTCCACATATACCTCAACGCACCACTCACCTTTTTTCCCTCATCAATTCTATGATTAACCTCATCCTTCATAAATCCATCCGCCGACATGTCAACTCCTAAGTATCTGAAAACATTCACTTCTTCCATACTCCTCCTCCCCAATTTGATATCCAATTTTTCTTTATCTAAATCATTTGATACCCTCATCACCTTACTCTTTTCTATGTTCACTTTCAACTTTCTACCTTTACACACACTCCCAAACTCATCCACTAACCTTTGCAATTTTTCTTTAGAATCTCCCATAAGCACAGTATCATCAGCAAAAAGCAATTGTGTCAATTCCCATTTTGTATTTGATTCCCCATAATTTAATCCCACCCCTCTCCCGAACACCCTAGCATTTACTTCTTTTACAACCCCATCTATAAACATATTAAACAACCATGGTGACATTACACATCCCTGTCTAAGACCTACTTTTACTGGGAAGTAGTCTCCCTCTCTTCTACACACCCTAACCTGAGCCTCACTATCCTCATAAAAACTCTTTACAGCATTTAGTAACTTACCACCTATTCCATATACATGTACTTGCAACATCTGCCACATTACTCCCCTATCCACTGCCTTTTCTAAATCCATAAATGCAATAAAAACTTCCCTACCTTTATCTAAATACTGTTCACATATATACTTTCAATGTAAACACTTGATCTACATATCCCCTACCCACTCTGAAACCTCCTTGCTCATCCGCAATCCTACATTCTGTCTTACCTCTAATTCTTTCAATTATAACCCTACCGTACACTTTTCCTGGTATACTCAGTAAACTTATTCCTCTATAATTTTTACAATTTCTTTTGTCCCCCTTCCCTTTATATAAAGGGACTATACATGCTCTCTGCCAATCCCTAGGCACCTTCCCCTCTTTCATACATTTATTACACAAAAATACCAACCACTCCAACACTATATCCCCCCCTGCTTTTAACATTTCTGTCATGATCCCTTCAGTTCCAGCTGCTTTACCCCCTTTCATTCTATGTAATGCCTCACACACCTCCCCCACACTCACATCCTGTTCTTCACTCCTAAAAGATGGTATACCTCCCTGGCCAGTACATATTCTATGTATTCATATTCTATGTATTCTTCTTAAGTCTCAAAACATTCATGTTTATTTCTTATCAAAATGTAGTACTATACCTAATATATACACAGTACTGTATTTCTGTACTTGGTTGAGTCCAATTACCCCTTCTCATTCTCACACTCCAACTTTATACTGCTACAATTCCCATATTTCCACTCTATGGTCAGTGTTAATTTAGGCCAGTACAGCTGGGGTAAATACAGAGGTGTCAACCATTTGCCTCCAACCCTCCAGGAAACACCACTCAAACATTCCTCATTTGTATTAGCAAATTTTTTTCTGCTCTTGTTCTCTACTTACGTAAATCAGGCTTGATCCAAAAATTGGAAATGTAGCTCTAATTCCTGTGACAAAGAGCCCTTCAGTATCAAGTATCCCTTGAAAGGCTACTATTTTTTTTTTTACAATATTAAATTTACTGTTTGTGAATGTGGTACTGTTGAATGGCACACTCTTTTTCACCCCATTACAATGCTTTGGATATTTAACTTGTTGATGTTGAAACATTTAACTTGTCATGTTGAAATAATTGATCTTGCCATGATAAAAACATTCAGCTTTTTGATATGAAAACATTCTACTGCCTGGGGCTCTCTTGTTTGGTGCATCCCTGAGTTTGGTGTTCCATGGTTAGTTGGTGCTGTAACCTTGGTTCTATGTTGGAGCCCCCAAACATCAGCATTATAATAATGTATTAAGTATATGAATACGAGGCCAAGCATATATTCTGGGAAGTCACTAGACCTGCTACAGTAAACAAAACCAACATCTTTCATCAAAGGTAAGCAGTACATGTATATTTCTATCTTACACTCAATTTCAGTACAACAGTGCAAAATATACAGTATATAGCCAATGGAAACCCTCAGCAAAACCACTGGCTAAAACCTAAATAGCTAGGATAATCAGTACAGCATCAGGGAGTAACCAATACAGTGCGAGATACAGCCATATTTCTGCCACATTGTTGGAGCTATCACAACATTTATATCCACCAGGCATGGAAGTTGTACCTTAATCTATAAAATATCTGCTATTGTAAAAAAATAAAAGCTGATTTCTAAACAGAAAAATAACTAGTTGATATTTAGGAACTTATAGGGTGAAGAAAGAATTAAAAGAAAACAAAAATACTGATAAAAATTCATCTTTAAAAAATTAAATGAATAAAAATATATAATAGCTTACTAATTCTCTTTCACTACAAATAAATATGCAACAAGAACTGTCATCTTCATAAAATATATATATATATATATATATATATATATATATATATATATATATATATATATATATATATATATATATATATATATATATATATATATATATAATATATATATATATATATAAACATTTGCAATATAAAAATGTTCTTTTTTTTTCTATGAATAAAGTTCTTGTGATTTTACAGAAGCTCAAGAAGATAAGTGAGCAACTGGCAGTACAACCTCCAGACCTAGTAGCAGGCAGAACAAACCTTTCTGGTCCTGTAGTACTCGGCGCCCAAATTCTCTGCAGCCGCCTGCGCCTGATTGCTCACTAGTTTCTGGTGAGGAAGCCTATCATCAGCTCTAAGCTTTTGGGAAGTGTGAGCTCCTATATGAGAGAACATCCTACGAACACAAGGAGAAATGGCATGGCCAAAACAACTCTTGGCCAGGGCCAAGACGACAGTCAATTAACTGTGTGCTGCCATACAGCTGAATTTTCATTTCACTTTCAATGGGTATGAAAATTATGGTTTGAGATAATTGGTGCAAAAGAGTTAGTTTTAATTAGTATAAAAGGAGAATAAGAAAACTTTCAGTTAAATTTATGTTAGACAGGGCTGGAAAAATTCTTAGCTCTTAAAAAAAAAAAGAAAACTTTGAAACAAAAATAACACAAACACTAAAGCTAACTTATGGGCTTTTATAACTGATACTTCAAGTAAACTCTTGTGTTTTCATATTTATAATTAACAGATAACATCTGTTTAGAAAATCATGTTTTATATATGAAGGTCATTATTAAAGAGCAAGTGCTTAGAATATAAGTGCAGTGGACCCCCGGTTAACGATATTTTTTCACTCCAGAAGTATGTTCAGGTGCCAGTACTGACCGAATTTGTTCCCATAAGAAATATTGTGAAGTAGATTAGTCCATTTCAGACCCCCAAACATACACGTACAAACGTACTTACATAAATACACTTACAATTGGTCACATTCGGAGGTAATCGTTATGCGGGGGTCCACTGTACTTTGATGTAAGAAATAATAATAAATTCATGAAGTATTTCTGAAGATTAGTAAAGAAATGCAGAGCTTGAGTGAAGTTGAAGGATGAGAAGAGTCTGAACATATGACTGATGATACTAGATGGTTTGCTCATAGACAGAAGAGGGAAAAATTAGAGATAAGAAACATACAGTGGAACCTCAAAAATCGAACGTATCACATATCAAACGTTTCGAAAATAGGACCATTTTTCGGACAAACTGTGTCCCTATTATCAAACGCGCCCCTATTTTCGGACCGCCGGGTACGAGACCTGTCTGCCGCCCACTCCGTCCGCGTCCCCGCGCAGGTGCCGTGAGCAGTTTAGCTTTGTTTATGCTTGAGTGAACACTAACCTGCGCTCTCATTCACGCATTTTACGATTATTTCTTTGTGTTTAGTGCTTGTGGGACTGTGAAATAAGCTGCCATGGGCCCAAAGAAACTTGCTAGTGGTACCCCTGTGGTAAAGAAAGTGAGAAACATCATAGATGTGAAGAAGGAAATAATACAGAAGTATGAGAGTGGTGTGAGACTTGTTGAGCTTGCCAGGATGTATGGGAAAAACAAGTCGACCATCGGTTCTATCCTGTCAAAGAAAGAACAAATCAAGGAAGCTGATGTTGCGAAAGGTGTTAATATAGGGAGAGGATGAGGTGCCTTCTTCAAAGATTAAGGAGATTTGTGCCAAGTGGAATGATGTCCCAATGTTTGTGCAGAAGTACCACCCTGAGCAAGCTGAAACAAGCCATCTTTGCAACAATTTCAGTGACAGAACCATGTCCCATTTTAGGGAAATGTTAAAGAGGCACCAGAAACAGAGGACTGTGGACAGTTATTTTGTGAGACAGGGGTCCAGTGACTCTCAAGCTTGTCCTAGTGGCATTAAAAGACAGAGAAGGGAAGTAACCCCAGAGAGGGCTTTACCTGAAGTCCTCATGGAGGGGGATTCTCCTTCCAAACACTAACCCCAACTCCCTCTCTCCTCCTCCCTATCTTCCAGATGCCATCACCATCTTCAATAAAGGTAAGTAAAAATGTTATTTTATATGTATTACTATACATAATTAAAAACTATAGTATTTGTTGTATGTAAAACTGTAATTAATCTCTATAAAATGTATTTTTCGTGTGAATATTTTTGGGTTTCTGGAACGGATTAATTGTATTTCCATTATTTCTTATGGGAAATATTGCTTCGAATTTCAGACTTTTCGAATTTAGAACTAGCTCCTGGAATGGATTAAGTTCGATTTTTGAGGTTCCACTGTATTAAAATGTATGATTTGTCTAGAAAATTTTGCAAACATATATGATAAATACAATGAGTTTACATAATAAGTTTTTATTTTGACAACTTTTCACTAAACATTCACCAAAATGTCATCAGAATAAAGATTTCCTCTGAGAACTTTTTGTCTTTACCACATTAGGAATCAGTTGTCTATAAGGCAGGTGGAAAAATACACTCCTTGGAAACCCACGTTAAAAAAAAGTATGACAGATAATTAGGCTAATAGATATGTATTAAAGGATAATTTTAGACAATGTGACATTAAGTTTTTCTAAATACTCTGGCTAAAATCATGAACATGAGAAGGAGTGTAGAATATCTAGTGATGGTGGAAATGTAATTATCTGTTTCAGTGCTAATAGAGCTAAAACAGTAATTAATGTAAATGCTGTATGCTGGATGTTAAGGCAGACAAATCTGACTGAATGGAACATGCTTCACTTGCATATACATGAAAATAGATGTTGTGCTAATTTCACAATACATAATGTGAAACTCAATAACAGAAAACACTCTATTAACAGAGTCAAAGAACCACTAGGTCTTTGTCTGTGCTAATAGTAGTTTTCTAAAATAGATGTATTGCTGGTGTGTTTTATTGCTGAAGGCTAAATAAACCACTGTATGCAAGAAACTTTTCAGTGTCAAAAACAATCTGAAATATAGATAAATGCATGAAAGCCCATAAGGTGCATATGATTGGTGATATCCTTCTATACAGTTAAAACAGTTTTGGGAAGAAAAGTAGGAAACAAATATAAAAAAAGTGAATAAACTAATAAGCCCATTAAAAATTTTTACTGGCCATTGGACAAGGAAGGACTGTAGGTTATGTCCAGCATGAAGATTAATGAAAGCGTTTGATTAATAAACTATTTCTTTTTAAATGTTCTAAATTATTTAATTAATGCAGGATTATTGTTCACATTGGTTTTACTGGGAAATAAGTAGATTTTATTACAATCTTTTACACATTATTTATCATAATTAAAAATTAAAGGTAATATGTAATAAAATTTTCAGCATTTGTCTATATACCTGTAGTTCCTGTTTTTAGAACTTTTTAGCTGTTGGTTATTACCATTATTTTATGATGTAACATTTTTAGGCTGCTTTTGTGAATGCCTCATTTTTTTATATTTCAAACACTGCATAGTGTATACAGAGTACAGTTAATACAGTACTTCAAATTCAAATTCAAAATTCAAATTTATTTATTTCTTTGCTTAAAATGTTTAGCAGTTATATATGCATACCTTATTGTGAATGTAAAGTAAATCACAATAACTTGATAAAAAAATCTTAGAAAAAAGATGAACCTCTAAAAAACTCGAAAACAAAATATCTGGCACTGTACTGAATAGCTCAAATGACTCCTGTTCAGAAGCAATAACTGCTATATAATAAAAGTACACAAAGTGGAGCTTAGGAAACTTTAACAATGATAATGTTTTACTTGTACAACGCACCATCTTCCAAGTCAAGGACCTGATGGTTTTGAAACTGCCCGTTGCACGGGCAAAATGTTGTCATTAATAAAGGGTCCTAAAATGCACTTCTCTTTTTAAAACACTATCAGCATTCCTTTACCACTGCTATTCCTTTACCAACTATACAGTGGTCCCTTGAGTTATGATACTAATCCTTTCCAGAAGATGTACCGTACCTCCACACTATCATAGCTCAAGTCTCAAGATACATAGTTTTATGGTAATTCATTCCAAGACATTGGAAGTGAAACTTTTATCCCACCTTGCACACTGTCAGAAATATCTTGCAGCTACAGCTGCTCAAAATATCAACATGGATGACAGCCAATAAACTTACACTGACAAAACCTACTATATTATGTTTGGTAGCAGAGCAGGCTGCGCAACTTAACATTAAGATCGACAGCACTCTAATTGCCAGACATAATGAGGGCAAATTCCTACGCCTATACCTCGACAACAACGTGAATTTCAGCACCCATATCCAACACATATCAAAAATAGTATCCATAACAGTTGGGATCCTCTCCAAGATACGATACTATGTGCCACAAAATGCCTTTCTCACACTATACCATTCACTCATTTATCCATACCTCACCTATGCTATCTGTGCTTTGGGATCAACTGCAGCAATACACCTAAAGCCAATAATAACTCAACAAAAAGCCGCAGTAAGAATAATCACTAAATCCCATCCCTGGCAACACCCTCCCCCCCCACTCTTCACAGATCTAAACTTACTCCCTGTTCAGAACATCCACACTTACTACTGTGCAATCTACATATACAGGACCTTAAATTCCAATATTAACCTTCACCTAAAATGCTCTCTTGATAGTTGTGACAGGACCCACAGGCATAACACCAGACACAAACATCTCTACGACATTCCCCGTGTCCGACTAAACCTTTACAAAAATTCAATGTATGTCAAAGGCCCTAAAATCTGGAACACCCTACCTGAAAACTCTAGAACTGCAGACACATTCATCACCTTCAAAACTAGTTAGAAAACATCTTATCTCCCTGATACACCCTGTCAACTAACTATATAAAAAGGTTAAGAATTAATCTAAGTTTGCCTGAAATGCCTAGCCATGCTAGGTGTTCTAGTGGCCCCCTCTGTAATTAGTATTTTATTACATGTAAACCACACAATAACCAAAATCTGTAAACCCCACATTGTAATCCTTATAGAGAATAAACTTTGATTGATTGATTGATTTAAAAAAATAATTCACAAGCAAGTTTACTCCTTCCTAGTGTCTCACAATATATTCAACCCTTGCCTGCTTGTTTTTTGGCTGAATATAAGTACAAATGATGCAATTATAAAAATGCCTGAGCTGCTTTGTGCAGCTCTTGAAAATAATGAACATCCTTTGTGCCTCTTTCATTACAGTGGACCACAACATCCTGCACCTTAAACTAAAACATTATAGCGTCAGAGGTCATACCCTGGCTTACCTAAAGTATTTTCTTAGTAACTGGCACCAGTATGT